TTCTAAACCCAAACGTGGCCTTCTGAGCTGTTTGCAGACATCGCTGTCAAGTAGGAGGGACAGGACATTCTTTTCGTCTGTTCGCCTGATCTAGGATGCCTGCCTCCGTACTGGACACGTGGTACGGGGGCCCCACTTTTTACTGGCCCTGGGCACCCCTGGACGGACGGATGGCTGGAGCACCCTTTCCCCTGCATGCACGTGGTGAAGGCACATGGACATCGTACTGCACAGTGTTCACGGGGACCCTGAGCCAACTTGGCCGAGAACCATGCGGGGAGATTCCGCAGACAATCTGGTGAGACCCAGTGGCCCGTTTCACCGTGCTGGTTCCGGGGCCAGGTCCAGGGCTGGCGTGGGGGTAGACCAGGGGAAGGCTGTCAGGCGGCCGGGGTCTCCCATAGTCTTCCCACACCCTTTCTGTCCCCAGAGAACAGGCTTTCTGCATTTTGAGAGAAAAAACCCACCCTCTCCAGTGAGCACCCCCCCACTCTCATGCATCCCCCCTCCCCCCCTGCAGTTCTCAGGTTCTGCAGAAGCCGCTTCCCTGCAGGGACAGCCACCGCCTTCCGCCTTCCTCCCCCAGGGCGGGCAGCAGGAGCCTGGGTGCTGCTGGCTGCCCTCCAGCGTTGGCCTCCCGCCCCCTGGCGCTCCAGCGGCCAGGCCTGCAGATCCTGGGCCTTGGGCCATGGGCGGCGTGGAAATCAGAGCCTTGGGAATCTTTCTTGGGCCGGACCCAGAGCCCCTGGCACCACAGCCCGCACCCAGGAGGTTCCTGCAGAAGTACCACAGGCCAGGCTGCCAAGAAGGCCGGAGAGTGGGACGCAGAGGGAGTGGGGAGTGGGACGTGGTCTTTTTCTTCCACCCGCCGTCACCCCTCCTTCAGGCCCACATGTAAGTCCTGCTGGGCCCTGGGAGACAGGAGAGGGTCCTGCCCAGGAGGCTCGGCCCGTCCTGCGGTCCCAGCCAGCGTGGGGGGGGGAGGGGGAGACTTCCACAGCCCCCAGCTGTCCCTGCCTCGGAGCTCCCATGTCCGCAGACCAGAGAACTCATTCCTGAAGGAGACGCACCCATCACGGGGACTGGCTGGTTTGTTTATAGACCGTAGGCCCAAGGACATGTTTTGGAAAGATGTCCCTTTCTCACGCCGAGGCGAAGGCCCTGGCTGGGCAGCTAAGGTGGTCAGAGCATCCTCTGGATACACTAAGGTTGCGAGTTGGATCCCCAGTCAGGGTACATACGAGAAGCAACCAATGCACGCATAAGTAACAAGAAGTCAGTGTTCCTTCTCTCTCTCTCCCCCTTGCTTCCCCTGCCTTTCTCTCAAAACACACACACATGCCGAAACCGGTTTGGCTCAGTGGTAGAGCGTCGGTCTGTGGATTGAAGGGTCCCGGGTTCGATTCCGGTCAAGGGCATGTACATTGGTTGCAGGCACATCTCGGGTGGGGGGTGTGCAAGAGGCAGCTGGTCGATGTTTCTCTCTCATCGACGTTTCTAGCTCTCTCTCTCCCTTCCTTTCTGTAAAAAAATCAATAAAATAAAAAATAAAATAAAAAGAAACACATACACACACACACACACACACACACACACAAATAAATAAAAATTAGAAACAAACAGAGATGACGGCTACACTCCCCAGCTGTCTACCAGCTGCTCCCAACCACGCCCTGCGCAGTGGAAACCTCCTGTGGCGAGTGGGAGGGTCAGACAGGTCAGTGCCTCGCACTGGGGTCCGGACACAGGTCTTCAGGACAGGATGCTGAAGACCCCGAGCAACGTCTGCCTGCAGCCAAGCACGGACGGCCTTTTCGTCCGCTGGACACGCAGCTCCCTCTCCTCCCCGCCCCTGACCGCAGGCTGTGGCCCTCCAAGCCCACTCTCCCCCACACAGCGGGGAGACATGGTTCTGGGAACAGAGATAAGGAGAATTCAGCTCCTCCCTTCGGCTGGGGTGCAGGGAGCCTCAGTCGCTGATCCCTCCGGAGCGGAGACCACGGTGCACAGTCCTGGGGCTTTATCAGGGACGCTGCCTCCCTCGCACTGCAGCCGGCGACACAGGAGGCGGCGCAGCGGCCTGCCTGTCTGACCGAGCACCCTGCGCTCTCTCTCCGTGTGCTCCTGCAGGACCAGGGGGTGTGGGATTGTCAAGCCTTTCCGGCAGAAGAATTTCTTTGTCTTGAGCCCCCATCTAAGTGGCTACTCCTTGGGAGCAGAAATATGTCTATCATGACCCTGCCTGGGCCACAGTCACTGGAAAAGGGTGGTCCGGCACAGAGGGATTGGCACAAAATACTCAACGTGGTGAGAAGCAAGGACCTATCACCAGATTCCTCTACCCCGCAAGGCTATTGTTTAGAATTGAAGGCGAGATAAGAACTTCCCAAAGGGCCCGGCCAGCAGTGCTCAGTGGCTGAACATTGACCTATGAACCAGAAGGTCACAGTTCGATTCCTGGTCAGGGCACATGCCTGCGTTGCAGGTTCTGTCCCCAGCCCCAGTCAGAGTGCATGTGGGAGGTAACCAATTGGCAGGTCACTCTTACATCAATGTGTGTGTATTTTCTCTCTCCCTCCCTCCCTTCTATTCTTTCTAAAAATCAATAGAAAAATACCCTCAATTAAGGACGAGGAAAAAAAAGGAAATGGCAACAACTACGTACCTATGAGATGTAAATGGATTAAATGCTCTAATCGAGACCCAAATGGCCCAGTTGGTGTGGCTCAGTGGTTGAGCATCAACCTATGAACCAGGTCACAGTTCAATTTCCAGTCAAGGCACATGCCTGGTTGTGAACCTATTCCCCAGTAGGGGGTGTGCAGGAGGCAGCCAATCAATTACTCTCATCTTTGATGTTTTTCTCTCTCTCCCTCTCCCTTCCTCTTTGAAATTAATAAAAATATATGTTTTAAAATATATTTTATTAATTTTTTACAGAGAGGAAGGAAGATGAATAGTTAGAAACATTGATGAGAGAGAAACATTTATCAGCTGCCTCCTACACCCCTCCATGCTCCACTGGGGATGTCCTGCAACCAAGGTACATGCCCTTGACTGGAATGGAACCTGGGACCCTTTAGTGTGCAGGCCAATGCTCTATCCACTGAGCAAACCAGTTTTAGCTAAAAATATATATATTTTAAAAAATCTTCAGGGGCGGGCTGGAGGGGGGTCAATGAGGGAAAAAAGGGGACATATGTAATACTTTCAACAATATTTATATATACTTAAAAAAAAAAGAAACCTTACTATCTTCGACAGCATGGATAAACCTAGACGGTATTATGTCAAGTGAAGTCAGAGAAAAATATATACTATATGATTTCACTTACGTGTGGCATCTAAAAAACAAAATAGCCCTAGCTGGTTTGGCTCAGTGGACAGAGCATCGGCCTGCGAACTGAAGGGTCCCAGGTTTAATTCCAGTCAAGGGCACGTACCTTGGTTACGGGCACATCCCCAGTGGGGGGGGGGGGGGGATGCAGGAGGCAGCTGACCGATGTTTTTCTCTCATCGATGTTTCTGGCTCTCTCGCCCTCTCCCTTTTCTCTGTAAAAAATCAATAAAATATATATTAAAAATAAATAAACAAAAAACAAAATAAACGAACAAAGGAGAGAGAGAGAGGAGCTCAGAGATACAAAGAACACATGGCTGGGTGCCGGGTTGGGGATGGGGGGTGGAGGACCGGGTGAGACGTGTGAGAGGATTAGGAAGTGCACATGGCATTTACAGAACAATCGTAGGGTGTGACGCACAGCGTGAGGAATGCAGTCAATAACTTAACTGGTATCGTGCCAGGGGTGCAAGACCATGGAGAGGGAGCACTTCGTAAGTTATATAAATGTCTGACATGCTATTCGCTTGGAACTAATACAGTATTAAGTGCCAACTGTAATTGCAATTTTGTTTTAATTAAAAAAAAAAAAAAAAAGCCAGCGGGAGGACAGAGTTTGGTGGCCAACCAAGTCCAATGGCTAAGGGATCGCAAGATGAGACCTGCAGTCTCCACGGGGCACGGCCACGTGAAGGTACAAGGTGATTCCACTGGAAGCTCAGAGGAAGCATCTCGTACAGAGATGGAAGAAAAAAGCGTCCAGAAGTGGCCCTGAGCATAAGTAATGCTGCCCCCCGCTGGCTGTCACAGCTCCGTGGCTGAGCCTCGGCCCGTGCACCAGGCCATGGTTTCATCTGAGTCAGGGCACACGCCCGGGTTGCGGGCTCCTTTCCCAGTAGGGAGTGTGCAGGAGGCAGCAGATGATGTTTTTGTCCCTCTCTCCATCTCCCTCTCTGAAATCAATGAAAAGGCATTTTTAGCCGAGACCGGTTTGGCTCAATGGGTAGAGCGTTGGCTTGGGGACTGAAGGGTCCCGGGTTCGGTTCCGGTCAAGGGCATGTACCTTGGTTGCGGGCGTATCCCCAGTGGGGGGTGTGCAAGAGGCAGCTGATCGATGACTCTCTCCCATCGATGTTTCTAACTCTCTATCTCTCTCCCTTCCTCGCTGTACAAAATCAATAAAATATATAAAAAAAAAAAAAAAGGCATTTTTACAACTTTTTTCTGCAGGCTTGCTTATCATAGTTAGGTCCCTTGATATTCACGTCTATGAAAAGCCAGGAAGATGTGAGTCTGTGAGGCTGATACTAATGGATGAGGTATGAGGGACAAGCAGAAACAAACAAACGGAAACCAAAAATATTTACCTGGTACTTCCCCTGCACACACCCGCCCACTTGGCAGGAATTACAAGGGACAGGTCAGCTTGTTTTTGAAAAAGGGACCAGGTCAAGGTCCTAGGCACAAACACACAGTCCCTGTGACACGCCTCTCGGCCCGCCCACCGCCCCGGCTTCCAGCTGAACCCATCGGGGAGGTGTGCTGACAGAGGGGCTCCCCCGCCAGACCTCCCCACCCTGTCCCCTCTGAGAAAGGGTCTCTCTCTTCCCTTTGACCATGTCTCAATTCACCATCAGAAAAGAAACAAATCAGACATTTCTCAGAAACTGAGATTTTATAAAAAGGCATCTTTCTCTTATATCCATAAAATGATATAATTTTTTCCAAGTATAGAAATGTGTCATAAATTATACAGAATGCTCCTTAATTACAGTTCAATGCAACTTGGTACTTTCCTCCCTCCCTAAAAAATGAGAGAGAACCAAAAAAATAATATATAACTGTATACATATATATATATAGATTTGTATTTATATTTATATAATAGACAAACCAAATATGAAAAAAAATCGTTTCCTCTTTGGTATAAAAATCAGACTCTCACCTCGAGACGCACAGACAGACGATGTTGGGTTTGTAAACTGCGTGGCCCCAAGGGCTTTCCCTGTCAGCTTTCCCTCCCCCCTCGGAGGCCACCCGCCCTGCCTCACCGCAGCCCACTCACAGCGCCAGGGGGCTCCACCCGCTGGAATGTTCCAGATTCCCGTACCCCACACCCAGTGCCCACTCTTCCTGAGGACCTCCACCAAGATGAGGAAAGGTTCCTCCACGAACAGAGGAAGGAGGTTGCTGAGGCTCCTGCCAGGCCCGTCTGGACCATCGTGTGGCCTCCACACACACACACACCCCCCCCCCCCCCCCACCTCCCAGGGGCCTGGCTGGGGGTGGGGCCCGTTTACCAGGAGGAAGAGGCAAAGGCCAGCTTCCCCTTTCGGGCCACCTGGGGTGCAGGTGCAGGAGAAGGCCAGAGGAGGAGGGAGGAGGGAGCCCGAAGGGACCCTGCTAATGGACTTGAGTCTACATCGAAAACGAAACAAGACCTTTTTTCAGGACTAAATTTCACCCCCAGCTTTTGGTCAGAGAATGACTGGGCCACATTCCAGCAGGACGTACGGACACCAGGAGCTGACCTGCTGACCTGCGTGTGCGGTGGGGGAGAGGAAGGAACCAGACCCTCCTTTATTCTCTGCCCCCCCCACCCAACAGGCACCGCCATCCCCATCCGCCTCACTGCCCCTCGGCCCCCGAGGGCCACCTACCAGCAGCCAGGGGTGGGCACCTGCGGGTGCCAGCCTCCTCTTTCCCAGGGGGGTTAAGACACCGACCATAACACAGACGTCACTCAGAGGCCTCCTCCACAAGCCAAATAAAAAGGACAAAACCAAACTGGACACAAACACAAACCAAGGAGAGACATACCCGACGTGAGGGCCAGCAGGCCTCTGGCTTCCCGGTGATACATTCTCATGTGATTGGGGATGAGGCCTCGGGGCCCCGGGGACGGGGAGTAGAAAAATACAGAGACGAGTCTCCCTGCGGTTCCCAGGCAGCGGGGGCAGACCCGTCTCACAGTTTCTTCTTCTGTTTTTGGTTCCACATCTGGTCCCCCACGGGGGCTGGTTCCAGATGGCCAAGCCCCTACTCTGCTCGAGGCCTGTGCCCTCCACCTCCCAGCTACGGGAGGCCCCGGCGGGGAAGGTCCCAGACGCTCCTGATGGGGCCGCAGGGCAGAGTCCACCAGGGAGACGCCGGGAAAGGCAAGCGAAGGGCCCGCGGCTCTCAGACCCGGGCCTCTGGCGGCCGGCCGGCCCGTGCGCTGATCGGCAGGGGCGCGCAGGCGCTCTCATGGCGCGGAGGCGCTCTCACGGCGCGCAGGGCCCGGCCTCACCCCTTGAGGGGCTTGTCGGCGCCCCCGCCGGGGCTGCCGGCGCCGTCGCTCTTCTTCCTGCGCAGGCTCTCGATCCAGCCGGAGCTGGAGCGCGCGGTGAAGCTGGAGAGCGCCAGCGAGCTGAGCCGCATGTTCTTGCCGGACATGATGAGCTCCCCGAAGCCCTCCTGGTGGGAGAAGGCGTAGCCGGAGCGCCGGGACCCCGCGCGGCCCACCCGCCGCATGCAGCGGTGCTGGGCCTTCTGCTTCCTCCGCACCAGCTGCGTGTAGCGGACCTGGGGGAGCACGGGGGGAGGGGCCGTCAGGGCGGCTGCGTCAGACACCCCCTCCCCCGATGGGACCCGGAGCCCCCGGACAGGGCAGCACGGGGACCACCAACAGGAGGCGCGGGGCCCAGGGCGGCGGCGGCGAGGGTTCCAGCCGGAGGGGCCTCAGGCGCCCGCTCTCACCGTGTCGGAGAGGTCGGGCCGCAGGCTGAGCTTGAGGAACCGGAAAGCGACCACAGGCAGGATGCAGACGACTGTGGTGAGCGCGATGGTCAGCCACACGGCGGGCTGGGCCAGGGTGTTCTGTGCGTTCCCTGAGGAGGCAGAGGCGTCACAGGGGCACAGCTCCCCATTACCACTCCTGGCAGCCCCCTCCCCCAGCCTCACAACCCGTCCGTCATCCTGGCTCCGCTCCTCCCTGCTCCGCATAGAAGTATCTCCGAATGTGACCCAGCTCCACACTCCCCCAGAACGCCAGGCCTGTTCACTCATCGCCTCAGGTGACTTCTCTGAATGTCCGACCGGCATCTCATCCCTAACGGCCACAGTGAGCTCTTGTGCCCTCCACCCAACCTGCCCCCCGACCCCACTCCAGTCCGCGGCCATCACTACAGCGCTGAGCCACCTCGGGCTTTCTCTCCAGCTGCTCGTCCAATCCGTTGGCTCTATTCCCACCATGGCAATCCTATGGCATTCGGCCCCGTCCGCTTACTGCAGCCACCACTGCTCTCCCCGGGGTGACTGCTAGAGCACCTTTCCCTCCACACTTCATCACCCAAAAGCAGCAAGTGTGATCCTTTAAAACCACAAGTCAGTTTATGACAATTCCCTGCTCAACGCCTCTCAGGGCTTCTTCTCACGTTTAAGTTAAAATGCAAAGTCCTTACTTGGACCTACACACACACTCTCTCTCTCTCTCTCTCTCTCTCTCTCTCTCACACACACACACACACACACACACACAAACACACACACACACTCTCTCTCTCACACACACACACACTCTCTCTCTCTCACACACACACACACACACACACACACACACACACTCTCTCTCTCTCACACACACACACACACTCTCTCTCCCTCTCTCTCACACACACACGCGCGCGCACTCCCCTGCCAGGCCCTCCCTGCGGGCCCCCATGCGGCTTCTGTCTCACTGCTTCTGCTTCCTGGAGCATTCCTTCCCTTTATTCAGATTTCTCTGCGCCAACGGCCCTTCCTCAGAGGAAGGGTGACTGTTCTCACCCCTCTCTACCCTACTTGGTGTTTCTGTGTAGCTCCAAACAGTGTATCTATTAACTTATAGGCTGTCTTTCTCGCTGAAACAGGGAACCCGCTGTTTGTTAACGGCGGCATGCCCAGCATCCAGCACAGGGGGGACCTTAGGAGGGCTGACCGAAGGCCCACAGGACGACTAAGTGAAAAGATCTAGAGAAAATGCCAAAAGCACAAATACATCTCTCCCCTCAAGCCCCCCAACAGCCCCGCCATGTGCCTCCCACCATGGCCACCTCGTCACCAGTGTGAACAGCCGTCCCCTCAGTCCCTGCCCAGGTTTCCTCACTGGCCATCACTGCCAGAGTCATCTTTCTGAAGTGATCCTTTGCTGCCATTCCCCCTCTGTCCTCAAAAGACAAGCAGCCCTGGCCGGTGTGGCTCAGTGGATACAGTGTTGGCCTGGGGATCGAAGGCTTCCAGCTCTGGCTCCCAATATGGACATGTATTTCGCTGCAGGCTCCTCCCCAGCCAGGCCCTGGGCAGGAGGCAACCAATCAGTGTTTCTCTCACATCAATATTTCTGTCTGTCCTTCCTTCTCTCTCTAAAAATTGATGGGAGCCGAAACCGGTTTGGCTCAGTGAATAGTGTCAGTCTGCGGATTGAAGGGTCCAGGGTTCGATTCCGGTCAAGGGCATGTACCTTGGTTGCAGGCACATCCCCTATGGGGTGTTTGCAAGAGGCAGCTGATCGATGTCTCTCTCTCATCAATGTTTCTAGCCCTCTATCCCTCTCTCTTCCTCTCTGCAAAAAATCAATAAAATATATTTTAAAAAATAAAATAAAAAATAAAAATTGATGGGAAAATATCCTCAGGTGAGAATTAAAAATAATAATTATTATTATTATAATTTAAGAAGAAGGAAAAAAAAAAGATCCTTGGCAAGTCAGATGCCAACCTGACAGCCTGGCATCCTGACGCCTCGAATGCTCGACCTTCCGCGGCCTCTCCCCCTCGGTTCATCCGGCGCCACCCTGGCTGGGGCGCTCTCCGGGCCCTAGGAACAAGCGGCCCTTTCACACTTCCAGCTCCCTGACCTGGAACCTGACGCCGTCCTGGCGCCATCACAGCACCTCCTGTGTGGGCCTCTCCCTGACCACCCCCCTGCACTCACTCTGCTGGCCACCCCCCTGCACTCACTCTGCTGGCCACCCCCCTGCACTCACTCTGCTGGCCCCCCCCCTGCACTCACTCTGCTGGCCACCCCCCTGCACTCACTCTGCTGACCACCCCCCTGCACTTACTCTGCTGGCCACCCCCCTGCACTCACTCTGCTGGCCACCCCCCTGCACTCACTCTGCTGGCCACCCCCCTGCACTCACTCTGCTGGCCACCCCCCTGCACTCACTCTGCTGGCCACCCCCCTGCACTCACTCTGCTGACCACCCCCCTGCACTCACTCTGCTGGCCACCCCCCTTGCACTCACTCTGCTGGCCACCCCCCTGCACTCACTCTGCTGACCACCCCCCTGCACTCACTCTGCTGACCACCCCCCTGCACTCACTCTGCTGACCACCCCCCTGCACTCACTCTGCTGGCCACCCCCCTGCACTCACTCTGCTGGCCACCCCCCTGCACTCACTCTGCTGGCCACCCCCCTGCACTCACTCTGCTGACCACCCCCCTGCACTCACTCTGCTGGCCACCTCCCTGCACTCACTCTGCTGGCCACCCCCCTGCACTCACTCTGCTGGCCACCCCCCTGCACTCACTCTGCTGGCCACCCCCCTGCACTCACTCTGCTGACCACCCCCCTGCACTCACTCTGCTGGCCACCCCCCTGCACTCACTCTGCTGGCTACGTGCCGGCCAGCCCTCGCCCTCCTCTGGGCCCGACCGCGGACAGCCTCGCAGGGCTGCTCTTCACTCTCACAGACATGGGAGCCGCCGAGGGCAGCACCGGGTCGGACACACCCAGCCTCCCCCAGAACTCCCGGCACCTGAGGAGCACCGAGTGAATGCTCGCGGAGCGCAGACCGGCCACCTGCCCCGCTAGTCCCAGGACAGTGGTGACACCCCAGAGACTCACCCACAAACCGGAACTGGTTGGGAAACATGTCGAAGAGCCCATTGCTGTGCATGGCGAAGAGAATGGCAAAGTACACAGCCACGCTGCCCCAGATGAAGAAGTGGTTGATGGCCGTCCAGTAGCCCGTATCCAGCCCGATCTGCAACAAGCAGGACTGTCAGGGCGGAAGGAACCGGCACCCCGAAACCCGCCCCTCCCCAGAAACAGAACGGCGGTGCCCAGGGAGGCCCCAGGACAGGAGGGCCTCCTTCCAGAGGGGAGGGCGGTTCCGACCTGCACGCTGACCACGATGACCAGCGACGTGGCCACGGTGACGGCGAAGGACTGGTAGTCGGCCAGCTGGGTGCCGTCGTCCCGGGTGGCCTCGGCGAACACGCCGTAGGGGACGAAGAACAGGAGGACCGAGGTGTAGATGCCCTGCGCGATGCAGATGAAGAACTCCCGCTTGTTGAAGAGCAGGTTCAGCTGGCCCGGCTCGTACAGCTTAGGGTACTCCATGCTCCGCTGCTCGGGCACGTCCTGTGCGGGGAGGACCAGGGCACACCCGGGGCCTCAGAAGCGGCCGCTCTGACTCAGGCAGCCCCTGTCCCTGCCTCCTCCTTCCTAAATTCTTTGACACTAGATCGAACTTCCAGCCAACTGCCCCCAATCATCTTTGCTCAGCCTCCCAGGGGAGTTACAGTCAGCGGTGGCTGAGAGGAAGAGCACCCTGCCGGCTGGGAAAGGCCGTCCCAGGGGCCACAGGTAGAGGGCACAAGCCCCGCCCACCACTGCAGCGTGCCTCCTGCACAGAAATGTCTTCTCCCCATCCTGCCTGATCATCAGCCCCCCACATACCTGATCGAAGACCCCCATGGCCAGGACTGGGAGGGAGGTATACACGATGTTGTAAAGGGTAATGAAATACTGGTCGTAGACAGTCTGGGAAGAAAACGGAGGGAGAGAGAAGAAAGAACATGCAGCCTTCCTTCACGACAAATCAGGTGGAGGAAAATGGCAGTGTGGCGTATACAGAGCCCCAAGGAATTTTCTGGAAGTCTCGCCCACTCCTTCAACAAGCATTTTTTAAATGCATGAACCAGACAAAAGCCAGGCCTGAAGGGATGGGGCTTTGACCAGAAGAGACATGATCTCTGCCTTAAGGAATGTTCAGACGGACAAGCCAGGGGACTGGGAGCTCCCTACCTGGGCTGAGAAGCCGCAGAAAAAGCCAAACCAGAAGTGGACCATGGTGAAAGCAAAGTTCTTGTAGAAGAAATAGCAGAGGAACTTGCACATGCGCAGGTAGGACCAGCGCCCGTGCACCAGCAGGAGGCGCTGCAGGAACTTGAACTGGGAGAAGGAGTAGTCGGAGGCGAGGACCGCCTGGATGCCTTCTTGCCCGCTGATGCCCACCCCGATGTGAGCCGCTGCAGAGACAAGAGGGGACACGGGGGTGAAGGTGCCCACACGCCTGAGAACCCCACCAACACAGAGCCCCGTCCCCCTTCATCCTCCCTGGTTCCCAACCCTCAGGGGCCCCTCCCTCCGTCCCCTGACGCTCACTTTTGATCATGCTGACGTCGTTGGCCCCGTCCCCGATGGCCAGGGTCACAGCCTTCTTGTACTTCTTCACCAGCTCCACCACCTGCGCCTTCTGCAGGGGGGTCACCCGGCAGCAGATGACCGCTTTGCAGGCGCAGGCCGTCTCCAAAAACTCCAGCTCCATGTCGGCCTCCAAGGCGTGGGCCTGCGACACAGAGAGCCCTGAGAGGCCCCGGCTACCCAGGAGAGACCTGGGAGCCAGCCCGCCGGCCCCCTGGAGTGAGGGGAGTCAGAACCAGGTAAGACACGAAGGCCATGCGGAGAGGACGCCCTCTGGGAAAACACTGCCCAAACCCAGGAGGGCGACACTCACCAGGCTGTGCCCGTTGATGACCAGAGCATACTCCCCAGCGACCGCCGCCTCCAGCACAGACGTGAGCTTGGGAGAAGAGGGGCTCTCATGGCAGGTGAAGCCGTTGCCCACGGTGCGGGACGGGTCCACCATCTTCTCCCGCGCCTTCCTGGGAAGGGATAATGGAACCGTGGTCTCCCCGGACGGGAGCCGGGATTCCAGCCCAACCAGGGCCCAGGAGGCCCTGCCCGGCCTAGGTTCACCGCCCGGAGCACCCGCAAGCACGGGCCCGGTTACCTGAGCTCCTCCCGCACCTCCAGGACAGTGTGGCCGGTGACCACGAACACCTCGGACATGTCGTCCGTCAGCATCTTGCAGGAGTAGCCGATGTTCACAGCCGTCTCTACCAAGAGAGAACGCAGGAGCTACGGGCAGGCCCCCAACAAAGTCAGCGCCTCTCCTGCCGGACGCACGGGGCTCATGCAGGACCCGAGGGGGCCGCCGTCCGGGCAACGGCCTCTGCCCCGCCGGCCGCTCACCTTGCTTGTCTCCCGTGAGCACCCAGATCTTGATGTTGGCCAGCGTCAGGAGGGCGATGGTCTCCGGAACCCCCTGCTGCAGCTTGTCCTCGATGGCCGTCGCGCCCAGCAGCTGCAACACCACAAGGGCCCCTGGCACGCGCGTCCCGGACCCGAGCCTCCCTCCCTCCCTCGCCCGCGGTCCGCACCGCAGCCCGTACCGTCATGTCGCTCTCGATCTCCTCGTACACGCTGGCCAGCCGGTCCTCCCGGCTGTCCTGGGCCAGGCTGGCCTGCAGCCGCCTGTCAGCCCACTCCTCGTAGTGCTCTTCATCCAGGTCCTTGTAGGCCAGCACCAGGGTCCTCAGCCCCTCCCCGGCGTACTCCTGGGGGCAGAGGCAAGAGTCACCCCCGCCCCCGCCCTCCGCACCGAGAGCAGCGGAGCGCGGGTCCCCCTCCCTCACACCTACATTCAGGTGGTCCGTGGTGCTGGCGAGCAGCTCCGGGGCGGAGGGGTGGAGCCGGTCCAGCAGGATGGTGTCCGCCCCTTTGCAGTAGAGGCGGATCTTGCCCTCCGGGTTCCGCACTGAGGGAGGAGGGGAGAGAGGTTGGTGAAGACCCCAACGTCGCCATAGCAACAAGCTTCACCCTGCACCCCTCACCCCTCCCACGTGTGCACGCTGCCCCGCGCCCCCCAGCGCCCCGCCGGGCCTCACCGATGACCGACATCCGCTTCCGGATGTTGTTGAAGTCCAGGATGGCCAGCAGCTGGTAGGTGACGGCCGTGCCCAGCTCGTGGACAGTGATGGTCTTGGGGGTGCGGGAGCGGAACACGAAACCGAAGTTGCGGGCAGCGGTGACCAGCGCCCCCTCGTCCGGGGACTGGGCCTTGTAGAACAGCTCCCCTGGGCGGAGGGACACACGTGGACAAGTGGCCATGCTCTCAGCCGTGCGTCCCACCCCGGGCCCGAGCCAGGCAGGCGAGCGCGCCAGCCAGCCCTGCGGCTCACCTTCGCTCTTTTCTTCCGACATGACCGTGTGGCACAGCGAGAGGAGGCGGAAGAACTCGTGCACGTGGGGGTTCCCCATCTTAACGGCTTCCAAGAGGGTGGGGTCCCAAAATAAGAACTTCTGGTCGGCCAGAGGGTTGAAGGAGAAGTCGACGGGCTCAGGCCTCTGTGGCAGGTGAGGGGGCAATCAAGAAAGAGTGGGTCACCAGGCAGTGCCCCAGGAGAGTGCTGTCCCCCCCGATAGTTCCTGCCCTTCTGACTCTCAGGAGGAGAGCCCACATCCTGTCCACTGCGGACCTCCAAGTTCCCAGCTCAGCTCCCACCTCTTCCCTGAAATACCCGTTTCTCCACGCAGCTCCCGCCTCCCGACCAGAGAACACATGGCTGCTGACTACACCGGCTGCTCCCGGGGGCCCTGCTTCACTGGCCAACAGGACACAGACGCACTGCGGGGCTGCACCTACCTCTCCCACCTCGGCCTTGTGTCCCAGGACATCGAACACGTCACCTACAGCCAGGACGGAGAAGCAACATCAGCGCTGGCGTCCCTGAGAGCAAGGGGAGAAGCCCCCCCGCCCCAGGCACCTGAAACCCACAACCCCATCTGTGAGCAAATCTCACACCGGTTCACACGGCTGACCCAGAGGACAGGCGGCAATAGGTACCTGGGAGCCTCGAAACCCCAGGCCTAAAAGGCACGGCACCCGCTGCTCCCCATCCCGTCCCTGGGTCCTGCCCCCACCGCATGCCCCCCAGGGCAGCTCCTGTTTTACAGCCCCCTGCCCCCCCCCCCCCCAGCCTCCTGGGTGCCTCTCACCCTTCAGGCCTACACAGCAGACAAGGCCTCGGGCCTGAGTTAGTGCAGAAAGCAGTTATAGGAACTCCCTCTGCATAACAGTCAGACATCACACCCCCTGCCCAAGCCGTCCTGGCAGCTCAGCCGCAGGCCCCGCCACAGGCCACACTGAAGACACGGTCACTCCAGAGACTCACAGGCCCCTGAACAGCAGCACAGGGTGAGCCCGGCACTCCACGGGGCAGCCCAGATCCAACCCGGCAGGACGCCCCGCGGCCAGGACCTCAGGCCTCACTGCAAACCGGTGCTCCCCCCTTGCCCGGAGCCGAGGCCGAGGGAGAGGTCGGCAGACGGGAGGGAAGCACTGTCAGCGTCTGCTTCCTGACGGGGGACCCGGAGTGGACCCTTTCAAGCCCCCCCCCCCCGTCGGACCCCAGGAGGAAAGAACTAGGAACCCAGATGTCGGGACGGCCGTGGGGGCCCCGGGACCACACTCCCGCCAGGCGAGAGGGAACCCGGCCGGCGGCGCCACGCACCGTAGCTGCGGCCGTGCACGGAGCACTTGTTGAAGACCATGATGTTCTGGGTGAGGGTGCCCGTCTTGTCGGAGAAGATGTACTCCACCTGGCCCAGCTCCTCGTTCAGCGTGGTGGTGCGGGCCTCGGCCGGCGTCCGCTTCTTGGCGCAGAACATCTTCTTGTCCCAGTTGATGAAGTAGCTGTGGCCCAGGCGGATGACCTCCACGCTGCACGGGAGACAGGGGTGAGGCTGGCGGGAAAGGCGCAGGGGCCCCGCACGGCCCTCTCTGCGGGCACTCCGGCTGGGGAGGAGGGAGAGCGGTGGCACCTGGGCACCCCTTGGCGGGGCCGGGGAAGGAGAGCCAGCAGAGGAAGTCCCTGACCCGACCCTCCGGTGCGCGCCAGACAAAGGTGCAAAGGGTCCGGGCAGGTGGGGCAGACGGCACGGGCAGAGGAGGAAGAGGGGCTGGAGACAAGGCATTCGGCCAGTTCTTACCTCAGGGCTAATAATACAGAAACCATGCAGAGAAAACAAGAGAAAGTGCGAGAGGCGAGGGAGAGAGAAAAAAGAGCGGTAATGAGGGCGCTGCACAGGCCGCGGCACTGGGGCCTCGGCGGCGGGAGAGGAGACCGAGGGCGCCCAGCCCGCCCCTCCCCGGCCACACACAGCTGACCCTGCCGCCTGGCCCAGGGCTCCACCTGTCCCGACACCGTGGCTTTCGGAAAGAACAGGAAGCCAAAACCGGTTTGGCTCAGTGCATAGAGTGTCGGCCAGCGGACTGAAAGGTCCCGGGTTCGATTCTGGTCAAGGGCATGTACCTTGGTTGTGGGTACATCCCCGGTAGGGGGCTTGCAGGAGGCAACTGATTGATGATTCTCTCATCAATGTTTCTAACTATCTCTCTCCCTTCCTCTCTGTAAAAAATCAATTAAAAAAAATATATATATAAAAGAGCACAACAGATTATCTAATCTTTAAAAAAAATCAATAAAATATATTAAAAAGTAAACAAGTACTGAAGAATCAGAGTTACAGTGGCAGTGATGGACATGCTCCCACCGAAATCTGTAAGGTAATTTTCGATATTTAGGCTATTTCCCAGTCAGTGCCTTAGATCATGGCATCCCGATGAAGAAGGCAGACCAGGTATTGTCATTCCCGTTTTAAGCGAGAAGACTGAGGCCTCAGTGACTGTGGGCTTACCCTGGCCACGTAGCTGAGGAGAAAGCAGGGCCAAAGCGCAAACCTGTCTCCTCTCATCTAGAGATGTGCTAGGAAAGCCCTCAGCCCGGGAACTGCCTCCCGTCACTGCCGTCGGCACTAGGGCTCGGGGGCTAGAGGGGAGACGGGAGGACCAGCTGGGGAATCTGTATGAACAACACAATGGCTCATGAGAAGAGTTCTCAGACTCCATGAAGCATTTCCTGATAAGGGTGTGGGTCCCGTAACTCCAGTGCAAGGCACTGAAAACAAAACTCCTCTCTTGGCCACTCTTCCTTCCTCCTCTCTGTTCGTCCTCACTGGTCCAGCCCTTGTTACCGCTTCCTCAAGCACCCTACCTGCCTCCTTGGTCCTATTAATGCTCACCACTGTCTGCCAACACTTCCTAAAATATATATATATATTTTTAGGAATCCTTTAATGGTTTATTAAGCACAAAGGTCAGAGGCAAAAACTCAAGACCCTCCACTATTGGGAACAAACTTATGGTTCCAGCTCTCTGCCCCACAGCCAGATTGTCCCGTGACCATCCCTCGGTTCCCATTTCCACGCCCGTGTTTCTAGCCCTCTCCCCCGTCCCGGCCACCACTCAAAGCCCAGTCCACAGCCACCTCTCCAGAGAAGTCCTTCCTGATTGGCTGTGCAGGGAACCATGCCCTCCCACATGGCATCTGTGTGTTACGCTGCTGGCCTCTCCCCTGCCCTCACAGTCTGCTGCTTTTGAAGTCAGAGGCCACGCTCCACGTCTCTGTGTCCCTGCTGTACAATAAGCCCGGAGGCAGAAGGACTTCTAAGACACTTGTCCCGTTCTGTCTTATAATGTGCTCACATCTTTCTTCCTTGCCTGGACCAAAGCGCCTAGAGCGAAAGACATCCATTCCCACCTCACCTCTGCATGTGCCCCGCACCTAACGTGCTTCTTGGCACAAAGTCAGCATGCAACGAACATGTGACAGATTAAACAACACCGTGTTCGTTCTGCACAGTCCGAGTGCCCGGGAACTGGGGTGAAGCCAGCTCTGCGCACAAAGATAAACAAACAACATAACACATTCACAGCACGAGAAAGGGTCACCACGTTCATTCTGGAGGATGTCGCCTTCTCGGACAAGAGACTCCGGCCACAGGGCAGCCCCAGCTCCCTGGAGAGACCCCGGCACAGGGAGCAGCATACCTGACGTAGAGCGAGATGGGCACGACGGTGTTGAGGATGATGATGTAGGACCAGAAGGAGAGGAAGCCAGAGAAGAAGGCACTGTCCACCGCCTCGTCCCAGGGCAGGTAGACCTGGAAGCGCATCCCGACCTCGTGCTCCCAGATGGCATTGCCGATGGCCAGGATCACCCCCATGCAGACCAGGAACCCGAAAATCTGGGGAGGAATGAGAAGCAGCGATGAGGCCGCCACTGAGGAGGCCCTCCAAACCAAGTGTGTCCCTGTAGGTCATCGCTCACACCTGACCCTGCAAAATGCAAAAGCTCAGGCATCTTTTGGTTTTTTGTTCATCCTCTCACCTGAGGATCTTTGCCCACTGATTTTTAGGGAGAGTGGGAGAGAGAAGGAAAGACAGAGAAACACCGATGTGAGAGAAACACAATCGATTGGTTGCCTCCTGCATGCGCTCCAACCAGGGTCTGAGTCGGGAATGAGCCTGCAACCAAGGTACATGCCCTTGACCGGAATCGAACTCGGGACCCTATTGTCGAGGGTCAACGCTCTATCCACTGAGCAAAACCGGCCAGGGCCAGGCATGTTTAACATGGTGGTACAGGCCAGTGGGAAGCACCCAGAAGTGGCAACAGGTTCTAGTCTGCTGCCGACAGCACACGGCCTTCTCTGACCATTCTCCCATCTGCAGCTCCCCACCTGACAGCCTAGAACCCGTACAAGACCTCAACAATGATAAACGTGGGACGCATTTGAGATCTTGCTTTCTGATATGTCCTCAACGCTGCTCAAATAAACTCTTATAAAATTTTCAACAGGCCAAAACTGGTTTGGCTCAATGGATAGAGCGTCGGCCTGGAGGCTGAAAGGTCCCAGGTTCGATTCCAGTCAAGGGCATGTACCTTGGTTGTGGGCACATCTCCGGTGGGGAGTGTGCAAGAGGCAGCTGATCGATGATTCTCTCTCATCGATGTTTCTAACTCTCTGTCCCTCTCTCTTCCTCTCTGTAAAAATCAATAAAATATATATTAAAAAAAAGAAAAGAAAGAAACTTACTGGAAATCACCCATTTACTTAAGCTAAGCCTCCATAAACCCACAACAATGCCCAATTTCTTTCATGCTCACTATCTCATACAGATTGTCCCCCTCCCCCGCCCCGCATTTTTAAAATATGTTTTTATTGATTTTGGACAGGGAGGGAGGGGCAGAGAGAGACAGAAACATCCATGATTTGAGAGAATCATTGATCGGCTGCCTCCTGCATGTCCCACCCTGAGGCTCTGAGCCTGCAACCCAGCACGTGCCCTGCCCGAGAGTGGACCGGGACCTCCTGATTCGTAGGACAACGCTCAGCCACTGAGCTGTGGCAGCGGGGCATCCCCCATTTTTTTAAGCCAGGGAACAAGTTGTATCTTCAGAAATGTAGATTTTTCCATAGCCAAAAATCTTATAAAACTTGTAGTCCTTGGAGAAGAATCCTAAGAAACTTTTGGAAGTTGAAAGAAAAAAATTGAGACCATCGTCTGATTTTAGACATCGATTGGCCAAGCTGTCTTCTTTCTTTTTTTTGGTTGTTGCTGCCTCCTGCAGGCCCCCAGGGATGTGCCCACAACCAAGGTACATGCCCTTGACTGGAATTGAACCTGGGACCTGTCAATCTGCTGAGCCAAACAGGCCAGGGCTGCCTCCACGCTTGATGCTTTGGAACAAAACAGGAACCATCCTGGTACACAAGAGCCACCAGGGGGCGATGCAAGCCTCTGCATGACAGACCCACTCTCTCAGGCTGCGTTTCTACCAGACAGACCTCTAAGACCAGAGGGAGACTGTCTCACCAGAGGCTGGCCCAGCCTTTGCAAGCTGGCATGGGGGGGCGGGATGGGACGGCAGGCAGCAGGCACGGGGGCGCATGGAGGGAGGAGAGAAGGGGAGAAGAACCTGATAAGGAGCTCACATTTCTAGCCAAACAAGAGAAGGATTGGGGAATGGCCAAAAACTGAAGCAGAAACTTTTCCTTGAGGATCCTTCCCTCCTGGAAGGCAGGGGCAAACACTCCATTAGACCCCGTTCTCCATCCCCCGAGTGGAAATTTTTCTTTTACTGCCTTCTCCATCCCCATGAAGGCCTCCTTGTCCCAGGCAAAGGCAAACAGAGGGTCACATGCTACCTCAGTCGTCATCCTAACTGGAATCGGGAGAAAGGAAGACTTGTTTCAGCTTTAAGTTGTTGATTCACACACGTCTTTTACATAAACCTGCCAAGTCTAAAAGGAACCTGAAATAAACACAGCCTTTGAGGGCTGACCTGCCTGTGGCTTTAGAGCCAAAGCCTGAAGCCTGGCTGCCGATCGGGAGGAGGAGGGAGCAAAGGGAGCCGCAGCGGGAGGCCTCACCCAGAGCACCAGGGTATTCATCAGGCGATCGATACTCGTTCTCTTGAACTTCGTCCTGCCGCTGTTCTGCATCAGCTTCGTATCAGGACCTGCCGAGGAAGAGGAGGGCCAACAAAGCCAAATCAGGAAACCGCTCCTGGGCTTCTGCCCAGGCCCCCAGTGCAGGACCTCAAGGGGAAGAGACATGGGCTGGATGGACGGGCGCTTGTGTTCGGGGCTGCAGGGGACCAGCCCCCTGGCCTCCTCCCAGGTCTTGGAAGGAGGGCTGAGGAACTGCCTCGGACCTTCCTCCTCGGAGTCCCCAGAGCTCACCCGCGAAGATGACCAGCCCGAAGCACCACTCGGTGTTGCGCAGCACGCAGCCCCGCAGCAGCATGTTCTGGTTGCTCAGGGGGAACTTGCTCTCCTTCCAGTACAGCGTGCCGCTGAACTTGTCCAGCTTGTTGTTGGGGGGCTCGCAGATCACCTCGCCTGCAGGGAAGACAGGAGCACCGCGGCTCAGGGTACCATCGATAGCTTGAGCATGAGACAATGGAACAGAGAAAGCACGCCCTGACCAGTTTTGCTCAGTGGATAGCACATTGGCCTGCGGACTGAAGGATCCCAGGTTCGATTCCAGTCAAGGGCATGTACCTTGGTTTCGGGCACATCCCCTGTGGGGGGTGTGTAGGAGGCAGCTGGCTGATGTTTCTAACTCTCAATCCCTGTCCCTTCCTCTCTGTAAAAAATCAATAAGATATATTTTTAAAAAACTGCGGAGAAAGCAGCTGAGGGAGAGGGTGTGAGGATACGGGCCCAGCCACACACCGCTGTGTCACTGTGAGCAAATGGGAAAGGAATGGGGCCACGGGAACTAATATTAACAGTACACACACCCTAAAGCACAGAACAGACTGTCAGATTACACCGGGAAGGCAGGGGAGTGGAAGGGAGGAGGGAGAGATCAACCAAAGGACTTGTATGGGTGCATATAAAAAATGGACACAAGACACTGGGGGTGGGATGAGGGCATGTGACGGGGGTAGGCGAGGCTGAGGAAAGGTCAACGGGGGGAGGGGGGAAGGAGATATATGTACTACTATTTGTAATACTTTAAACAATAAAAAAAGAAAAATATGCATTACATACAGAAGAACAACAATAAAAGTTATGAAGGATTAAAAAAAGAGTACACATACCCTTGGACCCAGTCATCCCACTTTGGGGACTCTATTCTACAGAAATAACAGCACGAGTCAAATTTTTATTGAAGCATTATTTGAATAGAAAGACTAGACACGACCGAATGGTCAGTGAATAGCTGAGTAAATTATGATACATCAGTTCTATGAAACAATATGCAGCTATTTAAAAAATGAAGTAACTTTCTTTATGTGGTGATGTGAGAAGATGATGAATTGAATAGGTAGAGGCAGGTTGCAAGGATTTGGGTACAGTATGATCCCACTGATTTGTGTTTGTATAAATTGAAAAAAAGTGTGAATGAAAACACATTCAAGTGCCAGGTAACCTGACTATCTAAGAAGGTGGAACTGGAGGACAGGAGAGCTTTTTCCTGTGCATGCTACTTGTTAAAGGAACATACAGCACACTATTCTGAACTGAGTAGGAATAAGAAATAAGAATAAGCTGAAATTCCATCAATATGCCCAGCCAGGAGGAAGTTATCACCCAAAAAGATATATTGAAATGACCATTAATTAAAAAATAAGTGGTAGTGCCCGACTAGTAGTGTGGCTCAGTGGTTGAGCATCAACCCAAGAAGCAGGAGGTCATGGTTTGATCCCCATCAGGGCACGTGGCTGGGTTGCGGGCTCCATCCCCAGTAGGATGAGTTCAGGAGGCAGCTGATTAATGATTCTCTCTTGTCATTGATATTTCTCTTTCTTCTTCTCCCTTCCTCTCCCTTCCTCTCTGAAATCAATATCTTTATTTTTATTCATTTTAAAAATATATTTTATTGATTTTTTACATAGAGGAAGGGAAAGGGATACAGTTAGAAACATCGATGAGAGAGAAACATTGATCAGCTGCCTCCTGCACACCCCACACTGGAGATGTGCCCACAACCAAGGCACATGCCCTTGACCAGAATCGAACCCAGGACCCTTCAGTCCTCAGGCTGACACTCTATCCACTGAGCTAAACCAGTTTTGGCAATACAAATATTTTTAAATATATATATATATATATATATATATATATATATATATATACACACACACACACACACACACACACACACGCACGCACACACACATATTCATTTAAAAAATAAACATTAGTGGTAGCCACCTGGCATTCCTGACACCTCCACACCACCCACCCCCACACCAGTCCAGGGAGCTCCACAATCACAGCAACAAGAAGCCAGGAGGAGAAAGTACAACTTAAACCCCAAACCCACCACCGCCTCTCCCTGAAGGCGCTGCTCCGGAATCACTCACCGTCGAACTTGGCCAGCTTACTGACGTCTCCCAGCTCCCAGGTGATGGGGATCGCCTGGCGCACTTTCATGTTGGTCTCCCTGGAAGAACACCCACATTCCTGCTCACCCCAAGTGTTCTTAAAGGCGCACACCCCTCAGACCTGGGGACCTCTTTCCAAAGCCAGCTTGCTACCCCTTCGGAGGCAGAAGGAGAGGTGGGACACTGAGCAACTCACCCATCGAGTTCTGCTGTTTCTATGTAACACAGCCCGTGAGGCTCGCTGCTGGAGAGGAGGAGGAGGTCCGCCTGGAGAGGAGAGCTCATGAGAATCCAAAGACCCGAGCCTCCACCCGCCACGGACTCTGCCATGGTCCCTCCTTCCACCCAGCATGTGAATGGCCGGAAAGGAGCCAGCCCCAACGGCACTAATAGGACACAGGAGCTTCTCATTCAAGAACGTTCCCTTCCAACGTGTTTAAAAAGGCAGCAGGGAACCAGGAGCGGCTCATCCTTTCGGCCAGGGAAGCCCCTGCAGGCCTCGAGGGGCACCTGGTCCCTTACCGCCACAAACTGGTTATTTTCGAGCTTGATGATGTCACCAACACAGACGTTCATCCACTGCTCCTGCTGGAGGCTGAGGCAACGAGAAGGCAGAGAGGAGCTGTCAGGAGCTAGAGGTGTCCCCAGGAAAACCCGTCCTCCCAGGCCTTCCTCCTTCCCACTGGCACTCACATTCCATTGATCAGCACCTGAGACTGTCGGTTATTCACCTGGTTATCACTCTTGTGGCGGAACTGAGAAGAAGGAAACGAAGAATGCTAAGACACCTTCTCCTGCTCCCGGCGATTTAAATCAATCAACGGCATGCTGGGTACCAGCTCTACACTGAGTGGCCAGATTACTATGATCTCTGAACGCACAATAATCTGGCCACTCAGTATATGTGTGTGTGTGTGTGTGTGTGTGTGTGTGTGTGTGTATTACAGGCCCAGTGCATGAATTCATGCATGGGTGGGGTCCGGCCAGCCTGGCCAGGGGGAGGGGACACGGGTGGTTGGCCGGCCTGCCTGCTGGCCAAACTCCTGGTTGAGGGGACAATTTGCCTATTAGTCTTTTATTATATAGGATATACACTGAGTGGCCAGATTACTATGCATTCAGAGATCATAATAATCCGACCACTCAGTGTATATACACCTGTTCACAAATCTACTCTCTCTCTGCCTCCCCCTCCCTACTCTCAGCCACAATAACATGGATCTAGCTGGACCAGGTCAGGGACGGCAAGGAGAATGACTCACATAGTCATCAGTGGCGTCTTTCACAGCTGTGATGGTGAGGACAAGAACCAAAGGCACAATGGTGGTGAACCAGGACAGGGACGAGATCTGGGGGATCAACTGGAAAGAGGAAAGAGAAGGCCTGCCTCTGAGGCCCCGTCCTGTGCCTTCTTTCCCCCTCGACCTTTCTCACCCGGGACTGTGTTTGGCCTTGTGAGTGGCCAAGGGTCTCCCACGGGCTACTTACCTGCAGAATAAGAAGGAACAGGAAGTAGGTATTGGCAACTTCCTGGAACTGCTCAAAGAGGTTGACAGGCAGGAAGGTGAGAATATTGTACTTGGAGGTCTTGATGCAGTTACTCTGTGGCAGTGGGAGAGAAGACTGTGAGGCGGCCTCCAGCCCCGGCCCAGCACCGGACTGAGGGTGCCTCTTCATCTCCACTGCCCTACCCCTCGGTCCCCAAAGCCAGCACCCACCCACAGGTGGCGGGGGGGCAAAGGAAAGAGAAGGGAGTCTCATGGGGTCACTGACAGGTGAAGGCATGAAACATCCAGCTCAGCAGCAGATAGAGGGTGGTGGGGAGACTGACTGCCCCTCCCCTGTCAGCCCGCCCCAGGATGCTCCCGATGCTTCTGCAGCTTCCCCTCTCCAGCCCAGGTCCAGACTACTCACCGCATACTGGAACTTCTCATTGTATTCTCGGTCGTTGGCCCGGGCCCTCCTTTCTTCTTCTGCAACGGAACGACACGGCGTCAGGAGGAGCGGACGGAGCCCAGCCGACACCGAGCCAGGCACCCCGCTTTGTGGGCTCACACCGAGGGCCCTGGTGCTTTCCTCAGTGTCGCGTTAAGGAGTTGGCGCCTCAGCTGAGGCGTCAGTGAATTCCTCTCTCTCTTCCACTCTCCTCTCACCACTAGCCTCACTGCTGGGCCTTGCGGGCCTCACAGTCACCAAACAGGATGCTTCTCTCCTCACAACAACCCTCAAGGTCTTCCACTGGGGGCACCCCTTTCCTCTCCCCGTCCCATGAGTTAATGCCCGAGGCCTGCATGGTCTTGGGAATCCCAGAGGAGCAGTAGCTGGAGGCAATGGCTCCTTCTGGGAACCCTGCAGACGCAGACGCAGTGGCACCGTCCTCTCCCACTGGGAGGTGGGCGGGTGGCAAGACCAGGGTCACAGTGCCCTGGGACTGCTCTGCGGCAGGATCCCAGCCCCACGTGCAGCCCCCCCACTGGAGCCTCTGCTGGTCACATGGCACCGGCAGAGGCTTCTGACTGGCCCGCGATGACATCACCTTATTTTAAAGCTCATCTTCAAGTAGGAGGGGGGGTTTCAAGGATATGGGTCATGCAGACGGAGTCAGATGGGAAGGAGGACAACAGTTGCTCTCGACATGCGTGCCATCTGCCCACATATCCCCTATTTAACACACGTGTTGCTGAGTGACCCATGACCTACACCTATCCTGCAAACTCTGCACATCTGGGGTCGTAGGCACCAAGTTCAGAGACAGAACACGGGGTGTCTTAGGAAGGGTTCTCCAGCCCATCTCTCAGGGTCACGTTTACCACAGGCTGAAAGGGGGGGGAGGGGGGGGCATCCTGGTTAGGTAGGAAATGTAACGCCTTAAACCTGTCCTGGAGCCACAGCAGCATTCCTCACCCGTCCCCTCACCCCTGCTCTCACCCCTCACCCCTCACCCCCTCCAGAGACCCCTGCAGAGCACACTAAGTGCAAAACCTCAGCCCACAGCATCCTCTGCCCCCCCATTCCCCCTCTACATCACTTTTCTCCCAGAAACTTCCCGGAGGGGACCCTCGGCTGAGACCTCTGCTAAGCCCCCAAGGACCATGCAGGGGAGTCAGGGACCGGCCCCTTCGGAGCCAGGACCTCTGGGTCCGGACAGGAGAGGACAGGGACGGCTGGGGGAGGCCGAGGACAAGCGAATGTCAGGGTGAGAGGGGAAGTCAGGGGCCCGGGAGAGCCGCGGGTCGCTGCCTCCCGTTACCTGTCCCCCAAGAGGGCTTCTTTCGGCTCCAGGAGGGGGGCGCCCCGGCCCGGGCCCACTTCTCCGGCATCTCCTTGGGGACTGTCATGATCCCGGTCGGAGCGGGGAGGGCGGCCTGGTGGTCGGTCGGTCCTGGGGCTCAGTGGCGCCGGTGGGGCGGCCCCCCGGGGAGGCGCAGGAGCTGCGGCCGCTCGGAGGGGAGCCCGGGCCGTCGGGCGCGCACCCCAGCTGCAGCGCCAGCCATCCTCTCGGCCTCCCTCACCCCGGGACGCCGCCGCTCAATGACGCCGCCGCTGCCGCCCGGACGCCCCGCGACAGGCGAGCCGAGCGGTCCGAGCCGAGCGCCCGCTCCGCCCCGCCCGCCCCGCCGCCCTCAGCGCCGCGTAGGCGGACGCCGGCCCCGCCCCGCCGCCCGGCCCGGCCAATGGGGCGAGGGGACGGCATGTTGTCGGGGCAACCGCTTTGGTCCCGCCCACACCCCGCCGGCAGGAAAACGGGCCCGGGAGGATGGAAACGGAGCGAGCCGGGAGGCGTGAGGACCGAGGGGAGAAGGTGGAAGCACAGCTCCCCAAGCTCTCCAGGCCGGAGAAGGGGAGCTCCAGGCACCCTGAGAGGAGGGTCTGTGTGTTTGGGCTGAGGGGCAGGTCCGCAGCACCTTCTGGAGAACCCCGCTCAGGGATCAGAGGGAAGACTTAGGTTCCCCAGGTTCTCCCAGGATGAGGAGCTCCAATCTACCCTCCTTCAGACTCCTTACCGCCGTCCTTCTCCCCTAGGCCCGCTGAGCCATGACCCCTCCTATTGAGGGCTCAAAAGTGTGTAGCCCTCCATTCCCCTCTCCCTGATAGTCCATGGACCCCCCCCCCCCCACTCCTGCCTGTCTTACCTGGGGGGCGCTTTTTTGCACACAGTGCCATCTCACCCAGCAAGGTCCCAGCAGTCCCATGGGAGACCCTGCAGGAAGGTGACGGGTGGGGAGGTCAAGACCCTGAGGGTAACCCTTTGTGCCTTTCCTCAGGCTCCTCCAGAAGGCTTCAGGTCTAACCTCGCTCCCCGGCCTTACCCACCAACTCCCTCCAACACTGCTCCGATGGGTCCCTGAAAAAGGAGCCTCCCTCCCCTCCCCCGCCACTGCCTTGGGTCACACAGGGAGCCCGACAGTTCACACAAAGCAAGACCTACAGGGAGGGGAAGGTGGCAGAGAGAGGCCAGACACTGACTGGAGGGGCACGGCTCTCAGGGTGCCCATCCCAGGGCAATGGGTGCCCCCGTGTGCCCTCCTCGTGGCAATGAATGATGCCTGTGTTCACTGGAAAGCAGAGTTTCCACCACAGGGCAGAGGGTGGGGTTGAGGGGACACCGGCCAGGAAACACCTGGCAGAGCATCAGGAAACCAGTGGGCAGGCTCGCCCCTTCTCAGAAGTGTGTGCCCTCCCACCCCCTCTCCCTGGTCCCTGGGGCTTTCCTGACCTCCGCCCGCAGGGCGGCTCACAGCAGCCGCTCGGCCCTCACTTCCTGTGCAAGGTCCCCACACCACCCCTCTGAGACGAGGTCAGCCACCTTTCCAGGCAAGCGGGGGATCCCCCGACCCCAGGAGGCGCTGTTCCTGTCCCTGTCCCTCTCCCTCTCCCACCCCACACCTGTCCTGCCGGTCTGGGCATTGGGTGCAGGTGCCAGGAGCATCAGTCCGCTGGACCTCTGCATCCTTCCCGCCTTCCCTGTCCTTCCTTTCCCCGGACAAGGTAAAAAGTTCTGGCTTACAAGACAGGGTCACAGAGCCTCACCCCCCGTCCCCAGCCCGATCCTAAAGGACACTGCCCTCCGGGTCCCGGGCCCTCTGGTCACCTCCTCTCTCTTTGTCTGGATGGAAAGCCTTCCTCCTCCTCCTCCGTTCCCCTGCCCCCGTCCTGCCGGTCACACCCCGCCAGCCTGTCCGCCCGAGAGATGCTAATTGCCTGTCTGCCCGGCCTCTATAATTACAGACTCCGGCCGCAGCCCCAGCACCCACACCGGCCGCCTCTTCACAAACCCAGACGCCCTTCCTGAACCCCTGGTCGGGCAACGCTGAGACCCACGAGTCCTCTTCCTCCCGGGCCCGCCCCGGCCCTGGCAGCCGAGGGTGCCTGGCCCAGGAAGAAAAACCTCATCCACATTTTAGAGATGCCAAGCCTCGCCGAGGGCCCCCGGCCAGGGTCTCCACCCAGTCTGGAGGGTGAGTCATGGAGGGTGGGGTGTGAAGGGATCGGTCAGGAGAGGATGCGAGGGTGGGCATCTTCTCCAGCCCCGGGCCGGCCCCACCCTCCCGGGCGGCGATGGAGAAGCACCCTCAGCCCACGGTCTGGGTCTGAGTCCCGGCCGAGTTCCGGGAGGAGCTGCACACGCAGCTCGGGGGAGTCCGGAGCCGGGACCCTGACCAGGAAAGTTGTTGAACCTCCAGGACCCTGGGGAGGCCGAGAGCTGGCTGGTCCCAGACCTCATCCCCTCCGGGCGGGCCTGTGCTAGGAAGGGGAAGGGGGGGGGAGACCTGCGAACTGGGACTCTTCTCACTTCTCTTTCCCGGCCTCACAGGGCCACGTAGCCCTGCCCCGGCCCCGGCCCCCTCTGCAGCCACTTTGGGGACAAAAATAGCCAGCTCCGGGAAGAGGGCAATGCTCCTTGGAGGAATGCGCTCCTCCTCGGAGCCTGGCCCCGCTCCCATCCACCATCCCAACCGGGGGACCTGGCCCCTTCCTTCCCAGGGGGACGGGGTATTTGTGGGCAGGACAGGACAGGGCAGCCCAGAAACGGAACCCAGGACCCCCAGCTCACCTGCCACCACCACCACCGCCACCCCTGGCCGCCTTCCATGCCAGGACTCAACTGCCCAGCTGTGCGCTCCCAGTTCCCCCGTCCCCTGTCCCCCAGTTCCCCCTGTCCCCGCACCTGGCTTTCCCTCGCGCCCACACAGCCTGCGGCGCCCAACTCCCCTCTCCAGGTGCCCGGACCCCGGACCCGCTGCCCTCTCACCCCACAGCTCCGCTCGCCTCCCCGGGGCGCCCGGAACCCGGAACCCCCATCCTCCCGCCCCGCGGACCCCCCCACTCCCCATCCTCCAGCCCCCGCGCCCTCCTCCCTCAGCCACCCTCTCCCCGTCCTCCCGCCGCCCCGTCCTCCCGCCGCCCCGCGCCCCGCGCCCCGCGCCGGCCCGGCCTCACCTCAGCGCTCGGCGCTCGGCGCCCGCCGCGGCCGCCCCGGCCGGCCCATGCCGGGGGCTGGGGCGGGGGCGCTGGCTCGGCTCCCCGCGGGCTCCCGCCCCCGCTGCAGCCCCGCTCCCCCCGGGGCCTCGGCCCGCTACTTTGTGTCAGTTCGGGCCGCGGCGGGGCGGAAGTGACGGCGGCGGCGGGAGCGGCGGGGGCCGGGGGTGGGTTTTGGGGAGAGGGCGGAGGGCGGAGGCGGGCGCCGCCATCTTTGTGCCGGGCAGGCGGGGGGGGGGGTTACTGACCCCCCGAGGCCCCGCCCACCGCCACCTCCATCCTCCCCGGAGCATCCACGGACACGGAGGCGCTTCTGAGAGGTTCTGAGAGGTTTTATGGGGAAGAGGGAGCGGGGAAGCCGTGGGAGCCGGGGAGCCGCGGAGAGCGAGCCCCAGGCCCGTCCTCCTTCCTGCAGCCGGTGTCCCCCCTCCCGCCCCGGCCTTGAGTGACAGCCGGACGTCTCCGCTTCGGGGCGCCTCCGCTTCCTCCCTCCCCATCTCGGGGCGCTTGGATGGCTGTGTTCCACTGCCAGCCCTCCGCGCCCCCCTAGGCGGAGGCAGGTCCCCCCGCCCCGTACCTTCCATGAGGCGGGGGGAGCTGAAGGCGGGGGAGCTGAAGGCAGGGGTTAGGAGAACGGGGCGTCAGACCGGGGACCGGGCTTCGGAGGAAGTCCCACCGCCCCGCGGATGTCTGCGGCTTCCCCGGGCCGGCTTCCCGGCGCGCCCCCTGGCGGCCACAGGGAGGAACTGCGTTCCTGGAAGCCAGCTGGGTCCCGAAACAGGCTTGTGGGAGGAGAGGATGGAGACGGACCCTAAGCTCCTCCGGGTCTTCCTGTCCAGGCATCCTCCCCAGGTCAGGAGGAAGCGATGCTTCAGTGAGGTAGCACAGAAGCCTCCCGGAGCCTGGCGCCTTAGTAAAGAGAAAGAATGCCGTGTCTCCAAGTCTGGGTCTCTGGCCCTCTTCATTGTCCATGAGGGAGGTAGGACTGCTGAGGCATCTGAGTCGAGGCAGGAGTGTCCAAGTCTTTATACTGGGCAAGTACTAGACCCTGAGCTGCCTTCTCCGAATCCTCAGGGTGGTGCAGAGCTACCAGCAGTTGGTAAGTGGCGGTGCCGAGGGTGGCCCCCACCATTGGGGCCACCACAGGCACCCACCACCAGCCATTTCCAGCCCTGTAAGAGGAGGACAGAAGTGAGGCACCAGGAGTGACTCCCCCAGTCTTCCCCCCAAAGGACTGGAGGCAGTAACAAGAGAACTCCCTCAAGCAGTTCCTGGGGTGACAGACACCAGGAAAAGAAAAACACTTAGAGAGGAGGGATCCCCAGGAGAGCTTCGTCCAGCCTCATCCAGCCTCTTGCCTGTGGTAATTATCTGAATATCCCCGTTTTGTTGATGAGGTCACGAATACCCAAAAAGGTTATATGCATCCCAGGACACGACCTCTCAACCTCACTGTTTCAGTGAAAAGGGTTGGGGGTGGGGCAGAGAAAAAGGAAGGACTGGGGCTTAGAGGAGGAGCACTATCCTAAGAAACTAAGAACCATTTAAGAGGAGAATGTTTAGGCTGGGAACCCAGGGAAGAGCCTTTAGCAGCGGGAGGCTGAGTGGAGGGACGGCACCAGGGAAGGCGGTCTCGCACCTGAAGACTTCAGGGCCCCAGCCGGCCACGTAGGTGAATATCCGTGGGCCCAGGTCCCGGGCAGGGTTGAGTGGGTATCCACAGTTGGCACCCATGGATAGCCCAATGGCCAGGATCAAAAGGCCCACTGCCACGGGCTCCAGACCCGCGGGCACACCCTTGTTCCGTGTGTCCAGGATGGCCAAGATCCCCACAATCAGGACCGCAGTTCCCAGAACCTTCGAGTGGACGGAGGCAAAGGATTCCGATCAGCTGGCAGATATCATTCCATCTGCCCTCTCTCCCCCAAACCGTACAGGCCACCACCCTGCGGCATCTGACTTTGTCCAATCCAGGCAGCTGGGGTGGCGGGTGGTGCAAAGACAGACCTCACCCCACCTCCCATCCGACCCCCCAGAGACTTAACACTAGGCTCTGGCAGCGGTCGGCAAACGCATTCGTCCGCAGAGCCAAATATCAACAGTATGACGATTGAAATTTCTTTTGAGAGCCAGATTTTTTAAACTTAAACTTCTAACGCCACTTCTTCAAAATAGACTCTCTCAGGCCGTGGCATTTTGTGGAAGAGCCACACTCAGGGGGCCACTGGGCTATAGTGCCAGAGGTCAGGGACAAAGGTCACTACCAGGTCTGCCCCTCACACATACCTGATCCAAGAAGCCATTGTTCAGGGACAGATACGGAGCAGGGTAGGTGGCAAAGATGGACACCGTCTCCTTGGGGCCAGTCACTGTCAGGTTCCCACCCGTATAGTTCTGCAGGGCATCTGCAGGGGAGGGGAACCCCCGGGATTCCCATCTTTCTCATTCAAAACCATCCCAGGCACCCCTGCCCACACACAGACACCCCAAAAGCCGTCCCCGCGGTTACCGTAGTAGAGCGCGTAAGTGGCTCCAGAGGCACAGAAAGCGGACAGAGTCTGCACCAAGGAGTAGACGGGGAGCTTGGCCCAGGGGAGGCGTCCCAGGAGGCACATGGCCAGGGAGAAGGCCGGATTCAGGTGAGCCCCTTCAAGGATCAGGAAAAGACAACCAGCCAACATCCATCAAGTGTCACTGCCAGGCACTCGCCGGGCCACCTTGCTGCTCTTCCCCATGACTCCGAGGACAGATGGGACCATTCCCAGCACGTAAATTAGGGACGTGAGGCTCAAGGTTAAGCAACTTGTCAAGGCCCCACAGGGAAGCCAGGGTCTGAACCTGGGACTGTCTGCTCTTTCCCCTACGGTGCTTGTGTCTCAAGGCTCCAGCCAGGCACACGGATGCTGTGTGCTTCTCGGGGGGTGGCAGGTGAGGTCTTGAGCAAAGGTGAACCCCAGCGGGTTTCAGGTGGGAAACACGAGAGAATAGCACGTGTGTGTGCGTGTTCACACACACACACACACACACACACACACACACACACACGCCACCCCTGTCATGCCTTGCCACACACCTCCCAGTGAGCAGAGAATTCAGGAAGAGGGATGGAGAGAGGTGGAAAGGGGAGGGGCTGGGCTGGGCCAAAGGTGTATCTCAGCCCAGGGCACTGATCAAGCTCAAAAAGATAATGTCCCTGAGTCACCTTTTCCCCGATAACCAGGCATCCACACTCACCTGCATATCGTCTAATAACCAGACCCCTCCCTCCTTACCGGAGACATTACCACCCACGTAGATGGCTACCATAACAGCCAAAGCGCCAGCCAGAAACATGGTAAAGAAGTTGCCTTTGGTTTCCTCACTGGTGACAGCCTGGGCCACAGCCCCCTGGGTGATGAGCTGGTGGGAGAGGAGAGATGAGGAGCAGAGAACCAGGAACAGAGAGTCTGGTGGATGCACGGTGAGGGAGAGACTGGGAAGGTGAGGAGAGTGGCCAAGAGAGGGGGACTGGGAACAAATGTGAGGATCAGTGAGGAAGAAAGGAAAGCAGACAGAGGGAAGGAAAACGAAATGGGAGAAGTGAAAAAAAAAAAGTTAAGGAGAAAGGGAAGGAGAAGCCAAGACCAGTTTGGCTCAGTGGATAGAGCGTCAGCCTGTGGACTGAAGGGTCCTGGGTTCGATTCTGGTCAAGGGCATGTACCTTGGTTGGGGGCACATCCCCAGTATGGGGTGTGCAGGAGGCAGCTGATAGATGTTTCTCTCTCATTGATGTTTCTAGCTTTCTATCCCTCTCCCTTCCTCTCTGTAAAAAAATCAATAAAATATATTTTAAAAAAGAAAAAAAAAGAAAGAAAGAGAAAAAGGATGACATTGAAAGGGAGAGGAATTAGGCGCTGGTGGAGGTGAGGGGGCAATCGGGGAAGAGGAGACATGTAAAAAGACAATGAAAAAAAGAAAGAAAGAAAGAAAGGGAGCCCTAACTGGTTTGGCTCAGTGGATAAGAGCGTCAGCCTTCAGACTCAAGGGTCCCAGGTTCGATTCCGGTCAAGGGCATGTACCTTGCTTGCAGGCACATCTCCAGTGGGGGGTGTACAGGAGGTAGCTGATCAGTATTTCTAACTATCCCACCCCCTTCCTCTCTGTAAAAAAATCAATAAAATATATTTAAAAGAAAAAAGGGAGAGGAATAAAAATCAGGAAGTAGGAGAGGAAGACAAGAGACAAGAGGAGAGCAGAGAGAGAAGTGATGGGTCGTTGAAAGGAAGAGATGAGAACACCAGAGATGAACCACAGCGTTTGCCCACCTCCTGTTACCTTCCCCCAGTTACCCTGCCTACCATGAGCACAAACACACCCAGAAACTCTGCCAGGCACTGTCGGGCCAGGAGGCTGCGGATCCGGAGCCAGCCCTTGACTTTTGCCAGGAGCTGAGAAGGAACCATGGTGAGGACACCCTGTCTCTGGCCACTGCTCCCTCCGTGTGCACAGGCACACGGCTTCGCTCTATGTCTGCCAGGGGAACAGATAAGGAAAAGACTTTAAAACCAATTAGCTCAGCTCTGGAACAGCAGCTCGTGTGTCTGGAGAGGCTAGAGATAACGAGAGAATGTCCCCATGTAAGCAGGCTCTGCGTGACCGGGGCCTGGAGTTTGCCCAGGCTACTCTGTCTTCCGTCCCCTCTCCTCTCAGGAGCAGCCTCTTCTGTGCTGCCGGAGAAGTCCGCCGTCACCCTCTGGGAACCAACAGGGGCCATGGTGCCCCCGCTGCCTTCTCAGTTCGCACTGGGCGGACGTGAGTGAGCTTCTTGGAATGCTGGATCTCCTTGTTTTAATTAATTTTTGTTAATCCTCACACCAGGGTATTTTTCCACTGATCTTTTTTTTTTTTTTTTTTTATATATTATTTTTTGTACAGAGAGGAAGGGATAGAGATAGAGAGTTAGAAACATCGATGAGAGAGAGTCATCGATCAGTTGCCTCTTGCACACCCCCTACTGGGGATATGCCCGCAACCAAGGTACATGCCCTTGACTGGAATCGAACCCGGGTCCCTTCAGTCCCCAAGCCGACGCTCTATCCATTGAGCTAAACCGGTCCCTGCTCCACTGATCTTTTAGAAAGAGTAGAAGAGAGAGGGAAAGAGAGAGAAACATCGATGTGCTAGAGATTGGTTGCCTCCTGACCAGGACCAGAGCCGGGGAGGAGCTTGCGACCCAGGCACATGCCCTTGACTGGAATGGAACCGGGCCCACTAGTAAGTCTGCCTTCAGAGTACGGGATGTGCTCTCCACACCCCGGTATTTCCCCGGGCGACAGGGAACCTGCCACTGTGGTTCTCAGACAACTGGGCAGCCCAGAGACGGCAGAGATGCTTCTAAGTCTTGGCTCAGAATGTCTCTATCTCACAGTAGGTGGGGAACCAGGCCACAGTGCCTTGAGATGCCCCTTTTGGGTAAGGTGACAGGACAGTCCCGATTTGTAACAATTTTTCCTTCCAAAAATCGGGACTTTTTAAAAACGCCTCAGGACACATTGTTAAAAATTGGGATTGTCCCACCAAGAGCAGGACATCACGGGACATCTCCTTATTCTAAGAGGAGCTTACATCTCTTCCCCAGTATCTTTGAGAGGCAAACACTAAGAACTCTTATCTGAGCCATTTCTTAAAATGCAAGTTGCAGTGAGTTAATCCTCATTTGCAGGTGCTTTACAAGACAATGATCATCCCCTAAAGCAAAGTCCCGAGAAATCTTTTGGTCTGGCCCAGCCGAGGCATTAGGGGTGAATTAAATGTTTGACCAAATATAGCAGGCTAAATTTTAAGTTGATAATTTTGTATGGCCTGTGAGTAATGTTAACAATACCCAAATGGCCCCTGGCAGAGACAAGGTCCCCACCGCTGCAAGGATCTATTTCCACCTGTTTTCCTGGCAAATAGGACCAAAAACAAGAATCGAAGTCTAGTGAAGCTTGCCAAAACCGGTTTGGGTCAGGGGATAGGGCGTCGGCCTGTGGACTGAGGGGTCCCAGATTCGATTCTGGACAAGGGCATGTACCTTGGTTGCAGACACATCCCCACTGGGGGGTGTACAGGAAGAAGCTGATCGATGTTTCTAACTCTCTGTCCCTCTCCCTTCCTCTCTGTAAAAAAATCAATAAAATATATATTTTTAAAAATTCTAGAAAAGCTCCAAAGAGGCTGTCTGACGCACTAAGAGAAGGAATATATGCTGGCTAATGTGTTTGTACCTGCAGAATTTGGTAACACTGTACATGGAACTGGATACCCAGAGTGCTGGATCAAAGGAGGTGGGACATAAAGCTAAATATGGAAAAAGTTATTGATCTAGGAGCACTCTCCTGTGACGTAGGATTTAAACTCTGGCAAGATCCCTGGAATATGAATACGGGATGAATACACCTCTAGGATGGTCCTAGGTTTGGAGAAAACGATGGCCCACACTAAGGAAGGTAAAAATGCCAGGACAAGTAATTTGTGTTGATGACCATATTGAAAAAAAGGGAGAATCCTCAGACCTTTTGAGGATTTTTGGTCAAAGGATCTGAATTAACACTGATAGTTGACAACCCAAAGTTATACATGGTCCTTTGTTAAGAGTCGGGGCATATAGGGCTCAGATAATCAATGGAGTCCTAACTCATGGATCCACCCCGTAGTCACTGCCCCATATACACATATATCATGCAATTGAAATGGATATCTTTTGATGTTGGGTTTTGGACTTATGGAGCAAGTAATGAAGGCCAAGTGGAAGCCTGAAACTGCTCCACACCAAAATAATAAAAATCTAAAACTGCCATATCCTAGGAAAAATGGAAGAGATTAGCACCACCCTCAAAGACTTACACGAGAGCCCAGGCAGGCTCAGAAGTTGACCTTTGACCTATGAACCAGGAGGTCATAGTTAGATTCCTGACTAGGACACATGCCTGGGTTGCAGGCTCACTCTCCAATGGGGGGCAAGCAAGAGGCAGCTGATCAATGATTCTCTCTCATTATTGATGTTTCTCTCTCTCTCTCTGTCTCTCTTCCTCTCTGGAAAAAAAAAAAAAAAAAAAAAAAAGACTACAGGAGAGGTGGCCCCTTTTATACCCATAGCTTGGCTCCTACAAAAATGGAATAGATCATGGCAGGAGGCAGTGATTTACCATAAAATTAACCAAAGTGTACATCCAGCCCTAGCTGGTTTGGCTCAGTAGATAGAGTGTTAGGCAGCAGACTGAATGATCCCAGGTTCAATTCCAGTCATGAGCACATATCTCTGCTGCAGGCTAGATTCCTGGACTGGTTGGGTGTGTATGGGAGACAAGCTATGGACTGTCTCTTACATGGATGTTTTTCTCTGTCTCTCCCCTTCCCTTCCCTTCTCTCTGAAAATCAATGGAAAAGTATCCTCTGGTGAGGATTTAAAAAGAGAGATAGAATACAACTCTGACCAATTTACTAGCTGACACTAAAGGCTGTCAACTTTGAAGTGGGACAAAAAGTAAAATAAATCTCTGCAGCCATATGGACCCCACACACCTTATGAGACTAAGATAGCCGTGGGAGGAAAAGATGGTTTGGCAAGCCCTAATGTAGACCCCTACAGCTCTGGAGCAAAGCCATGGGAAATGGTAGAGAAAGACATACCATTTGAAAAGCAATTCTTGGAGTGTGATTGAGTTCCAATAAAGACAGAGCAATTGCCCTAACCGGTTTGGCTCAGTGGATACAATGTTGGCCTGTGGAGTCAAGGGTCCCGGCTTCCATTCCAGTCAAAGGAATGTACCTTGGTTGTGGGCACATCCCTAGTAGGGGGTGTGCAGGAGGCAGCTGATCAATGTTTCTCTCTCAATGCTTCTATTTATCTCTCTCCCTTCCTCTCTGTAAAAAATCAATAAAATATATTTAAAAAGACAGAGCAATTGACTCCTGTTCATCAAATGACCGAATAGCCAGAATTGCCCCTCACAAACTGAACCCTGTCAGGCCCTCCATGTCATCAGGAAGGCCGGGCCCAGGCAGAACACATTTTTGTACGCAAGTGGCATCTTTGGGAAGCTGAAAAGCCAGTGGCCCAGACTCTCATATCATTCACATCTTACCCTGGCACCTCTTCCTCTGCTCAAACCTATAACCCTTTTGGGGATGGTTTTAGTCCACTCAGGTAGGCACAACAAAATACCACAGACTTATAAAAACAGAAACGATCTCTCATAGCTTGTAGGTTGGGAAGTCCAAGATCAAGGGGCCAACAGATTTAGTGGTTGGTGAAGGCTCACTTCCTGATTCATAGACAGCCATCTTCTCGCTGGGTCCTCACACGGCCATAGAGGCGAGAGAGCTCTCTTGGGTCTCTCTCTCTTTTTAAATATATTTTATTGATATTTTACAGAGAGGAAGGGAGAGGGATAGAAAGCTAGAACCATTGATGAGAGAGAAACATCGACCAGCTGCCTCCTGCACACCCCCCACCGGGGATGTGCCCGCAACCAATGTACATGTCCTTGACCGGAATTGAACCTGGGACTCCTCAGTCTGCAGGCCAACAATCTATCCACTGAACTGGTTTCCGCTCTTGGGTCTCTTTTATCCGAGAACTAATCTGATTCCTGACCAAATCACCTCCCAAAGGCCCTACCTCAAAATACCATCCCATTGGAGACTAAGTTTCAACAGATGAATTGGGGGGGCAGGACATATTCAGTCCATAGCAAGGATCCTTGGGAGGGGGAATCAGAGAAGGAAAAAGTGTAAGCATGGTATGCAGATAAAAGTCAAATATTACTGCCACATTGCAACCCCAGTGGTGAGGGAAAATCCTCCCAGTGAAGAGATGTGGACAGAACATCTGGTCATTCACTTGGTGTGGAAAGACAAGGTCCTTAACAGGTAATGTATGTAGACCTGGGAATTGATTACATTAATCGAGGATAGAAATCAAATAGCCTCCACTTATCTTCAAAGTGAAGATCAAGGACAAGAAGGTTTGAGGATGAGATGTCAATGGACCTATAGGAGTAGTCTTTTTAAAAAATTAAATCTTTACTATTGAAAATATTACATATGTTCCCTCCTGCCCCCCCCCACCCCATGCATTTCAGAGAGAGGAAGGGAGAGGGAGAGATAGAAACATCAATGATGAAAGAGAATCACTGATTGGCTGCCTCCTGCACATCCCCTACTGGGTTCAAGCCTGCAACCTGGGCATGTTCCTGAACCATGGTTTATGAGTTGATGCTTAACCACTGAACCACATCGGCTGGGTGCTACTAGCAATTTTTTTGTTATTGATTCCTTATGTATTTTTTTCTATACATAAGCTCATGGTACCTATAAATACAGTTCTACTTCTTCCTTTCCATACCATGTCCTTCTCTAGCTAGAACCTTCAGTACAATGTTGAATAGCAGTGGTAAGAGCAGATATCTTGTATTTCTAATCTTAGTTGGAAAAGCACCATTAAATATAATGTTTAGTAGAGTAGAACCTCGGTTCTT